TTTAAAAACTATTGATCTACTAGGATTTTCACGCACAACCATCTCTAGGGTTTACAGAAAATGGTAAAAAAAAAGAGAAAATATCCAGTGAGTGTCAGTTGTGTAGACGAAAATGCCTTGTTGATGTCAGAGGTCAGAGGGGTTTAGAAAGACTGGTTTGAGATGATAGAAGGGCAACAGTAACTCAAATAACTCAATCAAGGTATGCAGAATACCATCTCTGAATGCACAACACGTCAAACCTTGAAGCAGATGGGCTACCGCAGCAGAAGACCACACTGGTGCCACTCCTGTCAGCTAAGCACAGGAAACAGAGGCTACAATTCACACAGACTCCCCAAAATTGGACAATAGAAGATTGAAAAAACATTGCTTTGTTGGATGAGTCTTGATTTCAGCTGCGACACTTGAAATTCAGATTGTAGGTTCAGAATTTGGTGTAAACAGCATTGCTTGAAGTGAGGTGATTGTAGCCGTATTAGTGCATTTGCGACAGAAACAATTGAGTACTGTCCGTGATACTTTTTTATTTGCACTAATATACAATTTTGAGGACAAGCTTTTGGGGAATGTCCCCTTCTTCAGGTACTGCTTAGACCTGAAGAAGGGGACATTCCCCGAAAGCTTGTCCTCAAAATTGTATGTTAGTGCAAATAAAAAAAGTATCACGGACAGTACTCAATTGTTTCTGTGTAAACAGCATGAATGCATGGATCCATCCTGCCTTGTAACAACAGTTCATGGATGTGCAGCCGACAAATCTGCAGCAACTGCGTGATGTTATCATGTCAATATGGACCAAAATCTCTTGAGGAATGTTTCCAACACCTTGTTGAATCTATGCCACAAAGAATTAAGGCAGTTCTGAAGGAAAAGGGGGGTCTACCCCGGTACTAGCAAGGTGTACCTAATAAAGTGGCCGTTGAGTGTATATTTATTCCTCTTGCTCCACCACTGCGATGGAACAAGAGCGGAACTAAACCCATCGACTTAACAGTTTTAAAAAACTATTATATTCCCAACATGCCGAGAATGCTAACTACCACATCTGCTTGTGCTCTCAAACAAACTGTCAAACCATCAAATGACTGGTGTCATACCTGATCACATGTGGAGTATCATGTCAGTTGAAGATCAAATAGAAGCTAAGGTGGCATCTTCCTTGGCTGAAAAGGGTAGGGGGGTTTAGTTCCGCTTTACTTCATTTTGTTATTAAAAAAATTAAAATCAGATTGGGTTGTGAAAGCTAAAAAGGTTTGCCATATAAGCAAAGAAAATTGAAAATGGCTTTATATGTTTAGAAAACTCTGGAACCCTGAGGCCCCTTGCACTTGGGGCTGTTCAGCTGCTGTGCATCCCTCCTGGCATCTTAGTGCATCTGGGAGGGACATGTAAAGTGTCCAGCCCTGCTTTAGGCAACCTGTCAGTCAATGGCAGGCTGTGGCTGAACGGGATGAACACTGTACTGAGTGGTACCAGTGTAAAAGGCCCTATATGTTCATGGATGTTGTCCATGAAGGGACAGGGCCCTAAATGCTACCACTCAGTACAGCGTTCAACACTGGCCCATCACAACCTGCCATAGACTTTGACAGGCTGCCTTCAGCAGGGCCAAACCGTGCACTTGTCTCTGCTGGGTGCACAAAATAGCTGGGAGGGATGCACTACAGCTGAATTGGGCCTTAGGGGACTTCTTTCAGCATACATCTCTCACATAATTTTCTACAGTGCACCGGGTTGTTAGGCATTGCAAAAACAGTCCCCATTTCTGGTTCTGCATGAGCAGCATGAGCTAGGGAAGTAGAGTAACTGCAGTGGATCTGCAGAATCAGCTTTGGAGGTACAGTATGTATGATGTCACCAGGTATGTTTTTACTCTAAATCCAAAATTAAATTTACACGGCCGTGTCATGTCATGGTGTAGAGAAAATATGGTGTCACCTAGGGTTCTCACCCATGCAGGCTGAGTGGCTCCAAGATGTGTCTCATTAGGAAAAAAATTACCTTTCAGTTTTGTGCAGCAATGGTAAATCCTGGATTGGGTCATTGAGTGCAGAGCTGTTGTAAAGTATTGAGTAGGATTATTCCTTCTTCCCTGGGTCCATGTTTTGATGGTTTCCAGCACCTACTGATTGTGAAAATGTGCATAGGCCTTATGTTGTGCAAAAACGTGGATATTTGGGTTGAATCAAAAATTACAAGAGCAACCTCAAATTTGCATTCAGTGGCATGCATCATAATATCTCTTTAAGAATGGTTCTTATGAAACAAAGGGCTGAATCTGAGCATCCTGTTATTTAGCTTAGTACAGCATTAGTGCAGTCTGCTTTAAGAAACACACAGGTGTTTTTTGTCCCTGCTTGTACATACCATTGAAACTTCCTCCTTGGTGACGTGAATCCAGGTTTCATTAAAAGCTTAAGCTGTCAATGTGCAGAATTCAAGGTGAGTTTGAATTTTGTTTTGTTTCATATCCCTCCCTGTTTTCTTTGCAGAGTAGCCCTGGAGCAGATCTGAGTCAGATGGGGTGAGGAAAAAGGGAATTATTCACTGTTCACATATCTGATTTTTTTGCCACCATGTCTTTGTGCTCATTTTATTGTTTACAAATGTACTTTGACTTCAGAATGTAGAATAATGATGGCCAAACAAAAGACCAACAATCATATGAAATTCTTATAATTGTAATGTTCATTCGATTTTCAAATAATTTGTGGGTGAAAACTGATAACCATTTTCAAAGCTGAAAAATCTAATAAAAAGTTTGGAAAAGCATTCTTGAATGAACGAAGCTTGAAACACTAGTGTGTTGCGCAGTAAAAATTGTACCATTTTTAATGCGTATGTATGAGATTCTGTCACTTCCTTATTACTTAGGTGAGCAAACCAAATGGTAAGTCAATTAATTTATGTCCATTGAATGATTTCCCATTTGAAATTCAGTCACTGATGATGGTAGTATTGTGAGCTCTGCATAACGCTTTTTCATTTTTCAAGTGTGAGTTGGAAGGACTTTTCATCTAGTTCATGGTCTCCATAATACCTAAAGAGGAGGTTCAGGCTCTCCCAAAAAAATTAAAAGTGAGGAGCTACAAATACTGTAGCTGCTGACTTTTAATATAAGGAAACTTAGCTGTTCAAGGGTCCAGCGCCATTGTCACCCGAGCTAGCTCTTCACTAGCCTCCGGGTTTCCTGCACCAGCATTGCAAGTGAGGGAAACTGTCTCGTGAGATCTTTTGGGACCTGTGAAGTGTCTCAGAAGACTGCGGGGGGAAGGAGGGTGGCCGAACTTTCGTCTCAGTTCGCCATGGCGAACTGAGCCAGAAGTGGGAGCGGGTACCTGTCAAAACCAGGTAACCACTTCCCCCCAAAAAATGCCAAATGTGGTAGTGGAGGGAAGGAGAAGGCAGGCAAGTGGAGCTTCCCCTTTTGGGTGGCGCTCCGCTTTAAAATACTGGACAGTAACAGGGTGTCCATAAATAAGAAAAAATTGAAATGCATCCCTTCAAACTGGCTTGTGCTATTGTGCATGTAACTATCACCAGGTATAAAAAGGCTGTATATTAATAAACAAAAAAATGTATTAAATGTATCAAAAAAATATAAATAAAGGTATGACTGACAGGTTTCCCCTTTACTGTGGCAACCCACCCACAATCCAACAAAGAAGACGCAAAAATAGAGACTGTACCAGCTTTTGTATGTCTCTGGTCATCCTGCTATATTGTGTCTAGTGCACATTCCAGAAGTCACCCCATGTAGCTTGTTTTGCCATTCCCCTGCTTGATTGCTAGGACACTAGCAACTAGCATCCAACGATTATTATGGTGCAGGTGGCAAAAGTATCTTAGCAACCAGTTCAGTAACTTTGCCCTGTGCATACAGGCTAAATTACTGAGTTGCAGTGAGGATAGAGTGTTAGGTGTGGACACCTCAGTGCTGCTCATCACTGAATGCCACAGGTGTCAGTCGCTTTACTGGTGGTACGCCCTGGCTATCAGATGCTAATACTCTCAGCTCATGTGTTAGTGTGGCAGCAGGACTAGTCAGGAGAAGGACTCACTTCGGTTTTTGACACAGGAGATGGAGCAGGCAGGGTACTGTAGCAATGCAGTTTGTACCAATTTTGCAGGTAGGGCCAGCTCAGCTGCAATGTAGGCCCCTCAAAGAGTGTAAAATGAGTAGTACATTGACTGCAGGGAAATAAGTAAGTGTCACTAAGGCATGGAAGCATTATTTTTTTCATAACTACTGGGAGCAATTTATAAGGGGAGTGTTATTCTGACTTTTGTAACATGGCAGCAGTGATTTTGGTAACATACAAGTAGTGTGCAGCAGGTTCTTGTAAGTTTCTTGAGAAATAAGAAAGCTTTCCCGAAACATGGCAATGTCAAAAGAGATTTACATTAGGGATTATATTATTACTGAAAAGAAAAAAACTTTTGTGATAAACACCTTATTATTCACCTATTATTCATGAATGGATTAAGTGCTGATGAGTGAATGAATTAGTGAATTTTACCATGTGGATTTACATGGTAAAATAGGGCTAATGTGTTTTACAAACGTAGATCTACTCTCTCTATTTGTCCTAGTGACCACTGTCACTGGGTCTAAAAGTGAGGGAAAATTCAAAATGATCATCATTATTGTTGTAGCTCAGTCTGCAGCTAAGACAGGAAAAAAAACTGTCTGTGCAGCAGAGGAGACTTTTATACAGGTACAGCTACAGGAGGGGACTCTTATTGCAGAGCTGTGTACAGCCAGTGTTGAGCCCACCCGCTACTCAATAGGAAAGGATGTAGGCTGCAAGGATTGTAGGAGGTGTAGTTTTGACAGACTGAGCTAGCTTGGTGAGCTGGAAGGAGTAAACTGCAAATCACATATGGCAAGCACATTTTTGCAACACATTTCCAAAACACGCGGCACAACACTTCTTTTCTGTGCGCTTTGTCATGTGTTCTGGAACCGCCAAGTGTGAATGCGGCCTAAATGTACTAATTTCAATCACTTCTATAAGAAAATGTAATTGATAATATATCTTTTTGTATTGCTATATGATACATCAAATGTAAAAAATAAAGGCATATTGCTCCCAAAAAGTTCTTTTTAAGTAATGCAGTTTATTTTTATACCAGAATGAAAATCCTGGCCCAGGATCCTATAATGTTGCCAAAGGACCAGATATCAACAGTGTTTCTTTATCAATGAAAGGGACTGGAGACTTTCCTTCAAAGGTACTATATTGGCTTAAGGTCAGAGATATATTTATTTCCATATAATACAGTATACAATTGATATATAAAACATATGTATTGAGATTACAAAGTGAGTGTACAAATAGTCCATTTAAAGGTGTACAATCTAGAAGAGGCCTTGGTAACTACCTGCTGTAGCAGAAACACATGTTTGGCAGCCGCTGGCCTGTGCTACACTTTGGCTACCTCACAGTGGCTCTGCACTTTTCAATCCATACCTGCTTCAGCAAACATTGGTGGATGTGAAAGCAGGGCCAGTAAATATCTTTCCCCTTATCACTAGATGGGGCGCAGGTGTGGAGAATGGAACCACTGTGTTCCCTACACAGACACAGGAGACTGCAGAAAGTAAACTGACAGCAGTTTTAAAGAACAAGTACACCTTCCAAATAATCAGTTTAAATCTGCTTTTTTCTTAGAAAATGAAAAAATCTACCTTTGCAGTGGAGTCCCCCTGCACTGCAAGGTTTAATTGCTCATTTATTGTAGGGGCAGAGGCTTAAGGAGCAAATACTTACCTTATTGCTTGCTCCACCATGCTCCCTTTAGTGCTGCCACCCCACACAGCCTGCTCTGTTTGCTGCGACTGATTCCATCTCACTCCAGCCTCCGTGACTCTCCAGTTTCTGTTACTCTCCAGCTTCAATAAAGGCTTAAAGTGATTCTAAAAGTTCATTTTTTTTTTATTTGATTTAAATAACAAACATGTCATACTTACCTGCTCTGTGCACTGGTTTTGCACAGGGCAGCTCCGATCCTCCTCTTATCAGCCCCCCCCCCCCCCCCACGAACACCCACTGCTTGCTTTGGGGGGCACTCGTGCGCACTCGCTCTTGAGCCACCTTCGTGTGTCCATAAGACTTACAGAGCATGGCTCGGCTCTGCCCCTCTCTCCCTGCTCACTGGCTATGATTGAGAGCAGCGAGAGACCCAATGGCTCCAGCTGCTGTCTCTAAGCTAATGAGATGCGAGAGAGCCTGGGCTCTTGTGCACATCGCTGCATCAGGATAGGGCTCAGGAAAGTATTTAAGGGGTGCCAAAGGGGAAACTGCATAGTATGCATGAAGGTAAAAAACCTTCTGCCTTTAAAACTACTTTAATGTAGCTGTATTGTTCGTGCTGATGTTGAGGCTCTGCCACAGACTAGAGTTTTGGGCAGGGGAGGAGAGCGTTGAAGCTGGTTGGAGCGGGCATGTAGGGAAAGTCAATCTGCTTGTGCAGTAACTCCTAACAAGCATTTAACTCTTGCAGTGTGAGACAGGAAGGCAGTGCAAAGGTGGATTTTTTCATTTTCCTGAAGATGAACTTTAACCTTCCAATGCCAGGTTTTACAGCAGTTGGCTCAGATCCTACAGCCAGTTGAATGCCATTGTTTACAAATGCCTTTGTTGACTAGCCTTGTCTCCAACAATAGGCAGAGAAAAGATGGATCACTCTCCCTCTGCAGGCATCTCCAATTGCTACTTTCAGCTATAGCACGACATCTTAGTGCTAAGGGATCATACCAACCTACAACATCAGTTTTGATTCACTACCAAAAAAGATTAAAATAGAATGCACATATGGATACTCTACAACATATTAAGGCTGATTTACTAAATGAATTCAGAATCTTCACACAATAAATCGTGTGAATATCCACTTCAGAAAAGAAAAAGGTAAACAGAAGTGTATGGTGTGAAGATTTTCAACTTCTTTAGTAAATCACCGCAGTATATGAAGTCATTTTGGGAGTGAATCAAAAGTGAGAGTTGTAGGTTGCCTTGATCTATAATATTCTTTGTATGGTCAGGACAAGATTTGAAATTGCCTAAAAAAAATCGTGTGTGGCCAGCATACTTTTCTCTCTGCATGAATAACTAAACATTCACTAACTTTGAGGTCAAGGAGGATACAGCTGCCTACATGAGGACTGGACATTAGCAAACAAAAAATTGTAGGGCAGCTCAGGATAACCCCTCCTGCAACCAGTACTCCTGAAATTTGGGACACTTCCAGCATATATGTGCCATTGTGCCTTTTAGTTCCACATCCTCTCCAACATAAAGGTGATTTATCTATTTTCTGCTTATGTGCCACACTTGGTGTAATATACCACCTTGCTAAACATTTATAATTCATAAATATTTTTGTTTTCTGTTGCTCATCAAACAATATTTCAATTTCCCTTTCCCATTTCTCAATGTACAAAGGAGGGGTAGCTTCTGTTATTTTGGTAAGAGTTTTATAAATCCGAAAAGTACCATGTTTCCATGTTTTATTTATAATAAATAGTTATTCTAATGTATTTAAATCTGTCATTGGTCTTAAGGGCTTAGGGAGCGTTACAACAAAATGTTTTAACTGAATATATCTCCACTCGTTTAATGTAAAAAAAAACCTCCTTTTTTTAACTCCTGAAAGGAGCACATTTTCCCCCATCCATTATATCCTTTTAACTGTGCATTCTCTTTTCTTATCCATTTACCTGAAATATTTTCCCTCCCTGGAGGGAAGAAATCTATATCTACCAACGGCATCAATGTAGAATTGAACTCCCAACCCATTTGTTTATGAATCATATCCCAAACCCTAATTGTGCTTCGTGTATAAGTGCTTATACTTTCTTCTAACATACGATATTGATGTGGAATCCATACTATCTTGTCCAGTTGTGTCCCACTTAATGTGTTTTCTATATTCACCCAACTTTTCCTTGGTGCATTATATATCCAATCAAAAATACATGAAAGTAACACTGAATAGTAATATCTCTTAAGATCAGACACACCTAAACCCTCCTTCTCCTTGTCTCTATATAACACTTCATAGCTTATTCTCGTTTATTTATTTTCCCAAATATACCTCAGTATAATTTTTTTAATTATTTTAAAATAGGTTCCTGGAAAGTGTATAGGCAGCAAATGGAATTTATATAGGATTTTCAGGATGATTATCATTTTTATCAAATTTATTTGTCCTGCCCAAGAAAGTGGTCCTACCGACAAGTTCTTTACCCATTTCAATACCATGCAATTTTACACCTTCCTGCCCAGGCCAGTTTTCACGTTTCAGCGCTCTCACACTTTGAATGACAATTGCGCGGTCATACAACATTGTACCCAAACTAAAATTTTATAATTTTCTTCACACAACTAGAGCTTTCTTTTGGTGGTATTTAATCACCGCTGGGGTTTTTATTTTTTGCTAAATTAACAAAAAAAGACCAAAAATTTTGAAAAAAAAAAAACACGTTTTTTTTCTTTGTTTCTGTTATAAAAGTTTACAAATAAATAATTGTTCTTCATAAATTTAGGCCGAGATGTATTCTACTACATGTCTTTGGTGAAAATAACCCAAATTAGGATGTATTTTGTAGTATGTAGGAAAGTTATAGAGTTCACAAACTATGGTATAGATCTGAATATTGATCAATCCTGAAGTACTGATGGCCAATCTAATTTCTTGAGGTCCAAGAATGTCAGAATAGTACAGATATCCCCAAATGACCCCTTTTTGCAGAGTAGACAGTCCGACATACTTCATAAGAGGAATGGCGAGTTTTTTGAAGTTGTATTTTTTTTGTCATAATTTTTCGGAAAATGAAAAAATTAAGAAAATTTATTTCACAATTTTTTTTTTTACATACTGTCACCAGTGCAGTACAGCGTCATCATATAACTGGCATGGCGGTGAACAGGGACACTGACTGGTGACAGTATGAAAAAAAAAAAAAAATATATATTTTTTTTTTAATTTTTTTTTTTTTTTTTTTATTATTTTTAATTTTTTATTACATTTTTTTTTTTTATTTTTTTTAAGATTTTTTTTTCATATTTTACTATGACCAAAGTAGTACAATGTTACCATAGTAACATTGTACTACTTTGGGGAAGTGATCAGTATTTTTTTTATTTTTTTTTTTTTTTACACAATTTGCTTATAGCAAAGAATTACTTTGCTATAAGCAAGCATTTACCAGAATGAAATCGATTCATTCAGTTTTTTTTTTTTTTTTTTTTTTTGTGCTTAGCTGTGATTTGGTCACAGCTAATCACATGACATGTGCATGTGACCTGCTGTGACCATTCACAGCTAGGCACTAGTATACAATGGATGGAATGAATGCCATCCATTGTATACAACTGTCATGTGACCTGCTGTGATTGGTCACAGCAGGTCACATGGTACCAGCAACGGGGGAGCCGGTACTCAGATCTGTCATCGGCCGTGTCAGAGGTACATGGCCGGTGACAGATCGCGCCACTCTGGCATTAGATCTTTCAACCTAGTTGCCAGGACCTTTGCAAATAGTTTAGGATCCGTATTTAACAGTGAGATAGGCCGGTAACTAGCACACTGGGTCCCATCTTTTCCCTCTTTTTGTATAAGCGTAATATATGCTTGCAATGATTCCTCTCTCATTTCCAACCCGTCTCTTAATGCATTCATATATACACTCAATTTGGGGACTAATTGTTCTTTAAATTTTTTATAATATCTTACTGTTTGCCCGTTGGGCCCCGGGCTCTTCCCAGCAGCTGTCCCCTTCAATGCCCCTTGGATTTCCTCCTGCGATATCAGTTTTTCAAAGTGTTTTAACCATTATTCTTCTAATTTTGGTAGGTTCGTCTCCCTTAAATACATCTATCTCTGTCTAGTTCTCTCCTCTTCCCCACCTTTTAACTTTTTTTTTCGGTTTATGTCATATAGTTTACTATAATATTTTTTAAATACTGTAGCGATATCAGTGGTCGAATGCACCCGTTCTCCATTATCTTCCTTAATTTTCTCGATATAATTCCTTGATTTCTTCTTTTTCTGTGTTCTCATTAGATATTTAACTGGTTTATTCCCCCACTGATATCTCTCTCGCCATCATGTTGAAAGTTCTCCTCGTTTCTTCCTCCATTAAATTACTTAATTCCTCTCTGTTTTTTTATTATTTGCTGCTGTATGTCTGTTACTCTTCTCTTTTTATGTGACTGTTCAAGTTCGTATAATTCCCTTAAAAGCGTATTCATTTTTTTTTTTGCCGTTCCTTTTTTTTTACCCCAATTGCTATCAGAATTCCGCTGATATATGCCTTATGGGCTTCCCAAACCGTGGCTATTGATATTTCTTTGATCTCATTTCTTTCAAAGTACTGTTCTCATTTAACTTCCACGTATTTATCTTATTCTGCTCTCTCCCCTATAATAGCTTTACTGGAACTAGTGCATGGTCTGATATTGCTGTAACTTCTATATTTACTTTAACCAATGACTCCAATAGTCTATGTTCAATCAATATATAATCTAATCTTGAATACGTTGCATGAACTGGAAAATAGGACGTATAGTCTCTATCTCTGGGATATTTAATTCTCCATACATCCACTAGTTGACACTGATATAACATTCTTCGAATTGCTTTCTGACTTCTACTTCCTTCTATCTGCACATGCGACGTTGTTTCAGTCTGAGGATCCATTCAAGAATTAAAATCCCCTGCCACTATCAATTTGCCCATTTGAAATCCAGGAGCCTTCCCAGTATATTCTTAAGATAGGCCACTGGATTTCTATTAGGACAATACATATTTGCCAGTGTACACTCAGTTTCCTGTAATCTCCCCTTCAAGAACAAGAACTGCCTCTCCGGATCCTCCAGCCTATCCTCCAACTTGAATCTTAAATTCTTAGCTATACAAATTGCCACTCCATTAGCCCGCTTAGTAGATGAATCAGCAAAATACCAGGTTGGGTAATATCTAGAGCAGGCATCACTAAATGGTGGACCAGGGTCCGGATGCGGACCGAGTCACTATCCCATCCGGACCCATGCGGTCCCACCATTTAGGAGCCTTTTCTTTCCCCAGCTGTCTAGTGGTCATCCTCACAGAGCTGATAGCTGGAGGTAGGACAGTTCTGGTTGGAGGGCAGAAGCTGCCCGAGGTTAACTAGCAGGTGATTGGTTACTAGGATGAAGGGTAGTCTTAGCAATCAATCACTGTCTGTCAATCACTGTCTGAGTAATGTAGGACAGTGTGTGTGGGGGGTTGAAGTTAAAGAGGCTAAGGACATTAGTGTGAAGGAGGGCTGATGTGAAAAGGAGCCAAGGACTGAATGTAGGGGGACTGAGGACTGAATGTGGGGGGGGGGGACTTAGAACAGTATTGGTGGGGGGGGGGGCTGAGGACATTAAGTGGGGAGGGGGGGATGAGTACATTAAAATAAAGTGGAGGAGCTGAGAATTTAAATGTTTTAAGGGCTAGTGGCTGCGATGTGTGTGTGTGTGTGTGGGGGGGGGGGGGGGCGCCTGAGAGCATTAAAGTGGGGGGGCTGAGAGCATTAAAGTGGGGGGGACTGGGGACAGTAATGTTGGGGGCTAAGGACAGTAACATGGGGGGGCTAAGAACTGTAATGTGGGGCTGAAGATAGTAATGTGGGGTGGCTGAGGACAATAATGTGTGGGAGGGGCTGAGGATAGTAACATGGGGGGTCAGGACAGTAACATGGGGGGCTGAGGACAGTAATGTGGGAGCTGAGGATAGTAACATGGGGGGGAGCTGAAGACTGTAACATGGGAGGGCTGAGTAAGTACAGTAGCTTGCTGGGGGGTGTTTGAGGACAGTAATGTGGGGGGGATGATGTAAAAAGGGGCAGAGTACTCTTCAGTGAAGGGGACAGAGGACAGTAATGTTGGGGGGTGGAAGTGTGAGAACACTACTGTGAAAGGGGTGGAGGGGGGAGATAGGGGGAGCTGAGGACCCTCATCAAGAGAGGATCTTGCTGTGATTGAGGAGGGGACTGTGATGTGCAGCGGGGATTGAGGACACTGATGTAAAAACAGGTTCAGATCTGTATATGTGCATTTGGTGCACACATCGCGGGTAGGTCGGCTCATTCATTTTAATGGGCGGCACTACCTGCAAGAAACACGAAGAAGTCCCCGACTCTTTTTTTTTTTTTTCTTTACAAAATTGCACTGCAGCAACACGTGTTTTGGCGCACACAAAAACGTACCACAGGGACTTGAAATTCGGACCTTTGATGCATGAAAATTTTACTGCCCAGACCTCTGTGAATTTTAATTCAATACCACTGATCTGGAGTATAGTTTTACATTTGTTTCCTGTAATAAATGTGTCTCTTGTAAAAACGCTATTCTAATAGATCGTTGTTGTAATTCTCTAAGGATCTTATGCCTTTTTCCTGGTATATTCAATCTCTTAACATTATAAGTCATAAAATGGACCTCCTCCATCTCTCTTGTGTATATTTTTTTTTTCTTCTCTTTCCCTCTCCTTTACTCTTTCCCTCCATCTACCTTTTTCCCAACAAGGGTACCATCAACCTTTCGAAGGAGCACGGAGCAATCTCCTGTATAATTCTCCCTCTCCTTCCCTCCCCCCCTTTCCCTGACCCCATATCCCACCCCTATTCCCCCTATGCTCTTACGTCACCTTTGAATTGCTTGTGGTCCTAATCCCACCTTTTGAGTCCGAGCTGGGGTGGAGCTCTGACCACAAGCGCCCATCCAGACCGTGTTCCCAGACCCTAGGCTGCATGTCTGGATGTATCTGCAGCTTCCTGTTTCCCGCCTCTCTTCTTAAATTTTTACTTTATTTAGGAGGCAATATCGAGGGAGGGAGGGAGGGAGGGGAGGGAGGGAGGGAGGGAGGGAGGGGAGGAACGAATCCCCCCCCAAAAAAAAACAAAAAGAAAACAGAAATTAACTATGTACTTCCAAAAATAATTTTCCGTTCCTCCCCTATTTTATCTATAGTGCATTCTCATTTTGGGGACTGTATGCCAGCTATCACTTTCTATTCCCCTATTCTCTTCCACCCCCTTCTCCCATCCTGGAATGTCTACATGCTGTAATTCAAGTCTCTCACAAAAGTCTCTCAGATCGTCCAGAAATCTCAATCTTGCAGAGTGGCCATCTTTCCAGCCAATTAGGCATTCAGGAAAACCTCAACTGTATCGCACATTTTGTTTTTTCATTTGTTTCAGTAATGGTTTCAACATTCTCCTTCTAGCCAATGTTTTTCATGATATATCTGCAAAAATCTGTAGATTTGCTTCTCCATATTTTATTACTGGTTTTCCCTTTGTCTTCTTTCATAGCTCCACTTTGTCTTTATAATGTTGGAATCAAACAATCACATCTCTTGGGTTTCCATTTCCTCTTCCTATTCTGTGCACTCTGTCGATTTTCAGATGCTCTGTTCCTGATCTGTCTGTTATTATTTTAAACATTTTCATACTAGTCTCCATCAGGTCTTCTCCTTCCGAGGTCTCAGGTAAACCCCATATCATCAGATTACACCTTCTGTCTCTGTTCTCCTGATCTTCCAGTTTATATAGCGGACTCCTTTGTTCCTTTCTCACATCTTCAATCTGTTTTTCTAATTTTATTATTGCTTGGGCATGCTTATCTAATTTCCCCTCCGTCTCTTCTACTCGCGACAAGACTTGCCCCAGATCTTTGTGTACTATTGCCATCTCCTGCTTTATAGAGCGTTCCAGTCTCATAAACATATCTGCTATATCAGCTTTAGTAAGCATCTATGGGATCCCTCCTTGCTCATCGAAGTTTTCCATAGCCAACTCATTTTCAATATCTTCCCCTTCAGCATTTTGGCTAATCTTAGATATTCCCATAGATAATTTGGAATGATCCCCATTGGTGGGTTCCATCTCCCGCCTGACGCTTACTCCTTGTTGTCTCTCTGGGGTCTGTCCCTCCAAGTTTTTTCTTGTGGGGGGTATATACTTTTTAATTGAGCTTGTTTGGGAAGTCTTTGATCCCCCTCTTTGCTGCTTTACTTTTCGTGGTATTAAATTATTTTCTATCTTTTCCCAACCAGGGATTTACTTCTGTTGGGCAAATAGGGAATATAACGCTCCAAAAATAGTGTCTCTTGGGTTTTCTTTTCCCTAAGGGTCTCCAATATCTTCACCTTTCTTATGTCTCTATGCCTGCTCCTTCTGGCCCCCCTGGGTGATTCCCCCTATTACGCTTCAAACAATGCAGATCCTTTTAACATTTTTGAAACTCACATCCCTTGTAGACCCTCTGCGCCTCCTTCTTGCCACTTTCCTCCCATTAAGGTTACCTTGGTTGCTGATGGGCTACCTTTCATCACAGGGATCTCTCACACTGTCAGGTGGCTGATCTCCCCCATAGCAATGGCAAACTGTTTTTGGGGGGTCACCCTCTATGCAGTTCCTCGGGTCCCGGGCTCCTGAACAGTCAGAGCAGGCTTATGACAAATAGGGGGGTGGGGCCAGGCTCTCCGTACAGAGCCAGACGGTATTTCCGCTTCTCAGTGCTCCTCCACGGTGGCCACGTGACCACCCAGCGTCTGCCACTCCAGCCTCTGGCAAGGTCCGCCTCCCTTCCAGGCAGCTGCTTCCTCTCTCCATCCTCCGCGGCCCAACGGCCTGCACACAGGGGACCCACAGGATTCTCAAGCGGTAGCGGTCCTGAGCCCCAGGTGAGCCCCAGCTTTGCGGGTTACAGGGAGCACTGGCTATCCGGAGGCTCTCACATTGAGCTCTTGGTCAGCACCATGTTATAGCTCCTCCCCCGACCACTAATGTACTTATATTTTAGTTCAGTGTTTTTCTTTATTTTAGCTTTGTCAAGCATATTTTATGAATGAAATAATTTGATACTGTATAATTAACTTGTTCTGATAATTAGTATTGCATAAAAAGAAAATATTTATGGCAGTGTTTACTCTTTAGGCACCTCGAAGTTCCTTCTTTAGGGTCAGTCGGACCCCTGCACCAAACTCATACCACATTAAAGATGCCCTATTTGCACAACAGGATTTTAACAAAAGCAACTCCAGCATGTTCCATCAGCCTATAGCTATAAAAGTGGAGGACACAAAACATCTTACACCAGCTCCAAATCAGTACAAAGTAAGTGTATGTCAGTTATTTTTATCCAAATGGGACAAAACACTTTGTACAGTAAAACACTACATTTTAGCTTGCAGAAAGTATTGGTTCTGGTTGGAAATACCTTGCGCTTTTAAAGTGCAGAGCACTGTTTACTTTTTTAACTTTATTGAAATGTCACAGTGTGACATTCATTCATTTCTATGCACTGCATCTCAGCTAGAAACCCAGCTGTTTGTGAGCTGTAGGTGGAGCAGAAAAAAAACAGACATGTTGCAGATTTCTTTACAGCACTACAATTCACCCAAAGGCTGCATTCAAATGTGAATAGGGCATACAGTGAGGAACAGAACATCCTGCGATTTTGCAAGTTCTCCCACTTAGAAATCATGGAGGGGTCTGAAATTCACATTGTACGTGTTTTCCCACTCTGAGAGACAGAATTAAAAAAAAAACAAATTCAGTAAATCACATTGTATGATTTTTAAAGAATGTATTTGTCTTGCACTGCTGAACATAAGTATTTGAACACCTAAGAAACAGCAAGAATTCTGGCTCTCAAAGACCTGTTACTGTGCCTTTAAAAAGTCCACCTCTACTCCACTCATTAATCTACCTTAGTAGCACCTGTCTGAGCTCTTTAAAGACACCTGTCCACCCCAGTCAGTCAGACACCAACTACTACCATGGGCAAGACCAAAGAGCTGTCAAAAGACACCAGAGACAAAATTGTGGACCTCCACAAGGCTGGAAAGGGCTACGGGGCAATTGCCAAGCAGCTTGGTGAAAATAGATCAACTGTTGGAGCAATTGTTAGAAAATGGAAGAGGCTAAAGGCGACTGTCAGTCTCCTTCGGACTGGAGCTCCATGCAAGATCTCACCTCATGGGGTATCACTGATGATAAGAAAGGTGAGGAATCAGCCCAGAACTACAAGGGAGGAGATGGTCAATGACATGAAGAGAGCTGGGACCACAGTTTCAAAGGTCACTGTAGGTAAAACACTATGCCTTCATGCTTTCAAATCATGCATTGCACAGCAGGTTCCCCTGCTCAAGTCATCACATGTCCAGGCCCGTCTGAAATTTGCCAATGACCATCTGGATGATCCAGAGGAGGCATGGGAGAAAGTGATGTGGTCAGATGAGACCAAAGTAGAACTTTTTGGTCTAAACTTCACTCGTCGTGTTTGGAGGACAAAGAAGGATGAGTTGCATCCCAGGAACACCATCCCTACTGTGAAGCATGGGGGTGGTAACATCATGCTTTGGGGGTGCTTTTCTGCGAAGGGGACAGGACAACTGCACTGTATTAAGGAGAGGATGAATGGGGCCATTTATTGTGAGATTTTGAGCAACAACCTCCTTCCCTCAGTCAGAGCATTGAAGATGGGTCGTGGCTGGGTCTTCCAACATGACAACGATCCGAAGCACACAGCCAGGATAACCAAGGAGTGGCTCCGTAAGAAGCATATCAAGGTTCTGGAGTGGCCTAGCCAGACCTAAATCCAATAGAACATCTTTGGAGGGAGCTGAAACTCCGTGTTGCTCAGCGACAGCCACGAAACCTGACAGATTTAGAGGAGATCTGTGTGGAGGAGTGGGCCAAAATCCCTGTTGCAGTGTGTGCAAACCTGATCAAGAACTACAGGAAACATTTGACCTCTGTAATTGCAAACAAAGGCTTCTGTACCAAATATTAACACTGATTTTCTCAGGTGTTCAAATACTTATGTTCAGCAGTGCAAGACAAATAAATTCTTTAAAAATCATATAATGTGATTTCCTGAATTTTTTTTTAATTCTGTCTCTCAGAGTGGGAATGCACCTACAATGTGAATTTCAGACCCCTCCATGATTTCTAAGTGGGAGAACTTGCAAAATCGCAGGATGTTCAAATACTTCTTTTTCTCACTGTATAGAAAACAATTGTTTTCTGTGTGCCCTTGTTGAGATCGGTGTTTTTCTAGTGTAGAAAAACACAGATTTCGGCCCAAGTGTAAATGAGCCCTAAAATACAATTTCCGTTATTCTCAGTGATACACTATTTTTCTCAGTAGCACAACTGGCGAAGATTCTCTAGTTTTTTTATAAATGCACTGTTACTGGACGCGATACAATGTACTTTGTAAAATGTGATTTTGCTTCTCTACATAGTCCAATAACGTAAGGCTGGATTCATACCTGTGCATTCTCCCCTGATGAGAGTTTCATTGAAATGAATGGAAGCGTATATAAATGTGCACCAATGTACATAAATTTGTGTTGCTGCCAGTTTTCAGCATGTTCTATATTGGATATCAACATGTGTCGAAACACACACCAGCGCATGTTGATGAATGCCATGGTACATTTATGTACATTATGACATGTCCAAGTGCATCATGCTCTGTAACATTTTTTCAAGGATTTCAATGTACAACACCTCAAGCTGAAATGCAAAGATATAAATCCAGCCTAAAAGCAGACATTAAAAACAGCTTGCCCATAATTAATTTCTGGTTCCCCTTTTTAGTATGGTGAGTCCCTTAAAGGAAGTTTCTGCTCTTCTTGGCTAACAATGCAGTGACTAATAGTACTCATGCTAAATAACCTTAAGCTAGCCATAAATTAGTAGAAAATTGTTCAAAATTTCATAATAAACACCCGATTGTTAAACTTTCTAAATGTTAGTGAGCTCATATTGATTCTTGAAATGCAAAGATTTATGACAAAAAAAGAACTTGTTGTATTTATTTAGTATGAGCAAACAGGGGCGGACTGACAACTCATGGGGCCCCCCGGGCAATAGGGGATCATGGGGCCCCTGTGTCCTTGCCCACACCCACAAAAGCCTATGAAAAAGCCAATGAGGTGCCAGGGGCATCTCATGGGGCCCCCTACTGACCCCGGGCCCTCGAGCAGTGCCCAAGCGCTTGAATGGTCAGTCCGCCCCTGTGAGCAAACCATTTCTGAAGCGTGAATAGCAGAATCAATCAAGAAAAACATGATAAATTGTATCATGAGCGTTTATCCTATAATCAAACGAGAAAAAAAATTTACCTTTTGTGTTGTGCGCAAACAATATGTCAACAATTGGAGGGAACAGTTTATTTTAATGATGGCTTTATCACACACCTATTTGACAGATCTTTATCAAACATGAAAAATTTTTTGAATAATTTTCTACTCATCAATGGCCAGCTTTAGACAGCAACCAGTGGCAGCTACAGCTGTGATATGATCTATAAAGCCTATAAAATACGCCATTGTACAATTTCTGTAGCTTTACCAAAGCATGTAATGTTATAACCTACCTAAACAATATGTAGCACCCTCTTAGTTCAGCTAAGTGGAGATAGATCTCAATGGTTGGTCAGGAGCTGGTTAGCAGCTCAGGTGTGATAGCCAGAGGGGTACAATTGTGGTCAGGGCTGAGAGACTCTGCAGGCCAGCCCCTCTGGAATTTCCCCCTGCTCTGAGGCTTTTGGAGGAGGGCCTTGGAGGCAGTGGGTGGATCTGTGGAGTGGCTGTCTACACTCTTGAGGGACCTCAGCCAATCCCCAACAGAAGGCTTGGCAAGGGGCTTGAACTCACTTAAAAATGTTAGAGCCTACTCAGTAGCAGGAGTGTGGTGGTGGGAGACTTGTAGACAGCGGAAGGAGGAGGAAGGCTGCCAGGAGGCCTAGTGGGATGGGGCCTGACTGCAAGCCTGGAGCTGGACAGGAGGAAAACTCAGGATTCACTGGCCCCCTGAGTGAGGACCAGCAGTATGGCAGGGAAGGAGCATCCCAGCTGATAGGACTGGTAGCAGCAGCCAACCCGCAAGCAGTACAGGAGAGGATCTGAGTGAGTACACCTGCACCCTCTGGTCGGATAGCGGAAGGAGCACTCTGGTGGGAAATCAGATTAGTCCCCTACTAGTGGCTGTTCACCTCAATTAAAGGAATGGGAGCCAAATCCCCTGCTCAAGAAGAAAGTCTCCAGATTGCTGGGTGAAGGTGAGTTCATCTAGTGTCTGGGGTGGTACAGCTAGGAGATGCTGGCTAGCACTCCAACAGAGACTGCATCAGAGAAGTACAGCTTGTGAATAGTTCAGGAAGTTGTCCTCAGATATCTATTCCCTTGGGTGTCCTATACCCCTCTTACCCTATCCAAGTTCCAATCCCCTTAATAAAATAACAAAACCAATGTACAAGGATTGATTTGTGCCTCGGAATGAAAGCTTGTGTGGAAAATGCTGAATGACTGGCTATGCGGGACTATAAGGGGACCCAATTCATCAGCAATCCCTAAGGGGTAGTGCTATAAATACATTTAATCTGTATCTATTCAAGCAGGCTATTGCATTACATACTGTAGTTTTTGGTGAATCTAAAGATTGCACAATTAGATTTTAGAGATATAGAGTAGTTACTTTTTCTAGACAGATGAGGTCCTTTGGGGAAGATCTGGATGGCAGAATCTAGGGAAATAGCAAGTTTGCAAATAATAATGTATGTACATACTGTAATAATAATGCATATATGGTTCCCTGGTTTGTAATCTTGTATCTACTGTATTTATATAACTGAATTTATTTAACAATATATACTTTAAATAAAATATAGTGCTGTTGCACTTAGGAATAGATATGCATGCAACTTTGATAAGTATACGCTGCAGTCCTAATTTGTGAACCAATAACACAAAAACAAACAAAATACCATGTGTACCACGCATAAATTAAGTGCATTAAATTTGGCAATACATAAGTAATTTTGTTTCACATATACAAAGTGAATAATTGTAACATTCAGTCCCATTACAAAAAAATAAAGTGCCCAAGTGTTGAATACTAATTGGTGAACTTCATGCAAAAATGACAGGTGCTCCTCTGTGCTCAGTCGGTGCCCCACATGGATGTGCACTCATCGTTAGCCATGGACCACCTATTTCTAGGTTGATCTTAAGTGCCTGGTTTGGGACTAGCCCAATGCGTGATGGCAAGAATGGCACTAATATTTATTCCTGGGAGACATGCGATCTGGCTGATCGTAACCAATAGGATGATGACCAGCTTGGATATAAATGACCATGTAGTTTCAAAAGAGCCTTTTTAAACTTTCTCCTCTCCTCCCAGGCAGTAAACCAAGTTTCAGCACGTGAACAGATACAAAAGCAAACATCCCATAGTGTAAAACCATAAAAAACTTTAATGATGGGGAGAAATTATAAGAATAAAACTCACAAGCAAAGTGCCCATAACCTGGCATTCAGTGTATTCAGCCGTGCTGCCTGTGAATAGGAACCAAGATGGCTGCAGCGTTCCAGCGTGCATTCCAAAGGGCGAAAATGACATCAGCAGAAGTTGCGTCATCAAACCTCGACCAGTTTCGATCAATGGATCGTCATCAGAAAGTGCAAGATCTGCCATTTTGGAGATGTTATTTATACACAGCAGTAATTAAATCACTTGCTGAAGCTGTGTCACTTAATTACTTGCCCAAATCTATCCATAATTACCTGCAACATTGCTGAATACAGTGTACATATGCCGGATATGCTTGGGCTATTAAACAAAAATTAAATCATAAAGTAAATTTAGTGCATAAAATACAGCGATGGGGTTCTTAAAGCGGGGTTTTTTTTTCCCTTTAGGAACCCCATCGCTGTGTTTTTACACGAAGTTTACCAATTAGTATTCAACACCTGGACACTTTATTTTTCTGTATTGGGACTGAATGTTACAATTATTCACTTTGTTTGTATACATGAAACAATATTACTCATGTATTGCCAAATTTATTGCACTTTAATTTATGCGTGGTCCACGTGGTATTTTGTTAATATATACTTTAAATCATAGTTTTGGTATGTGTCTGATGTTTGAAAAACACCACAGGATAAACTAGAATGTCCTTTGAAGTATAAGTAAAGGCAAAATGTTTTTTTGTTTTTGTTTTGTTTGTTTTTTTTAGTGTTGGATAGAGTGGAGAGGGCTTAGAATACCTGTAAGGTTTTTTATTGCTGTCTGTGAAAGTGAATGAAATTTATAAATTTTGGGCTGCCACCAGAACAGGAATTGAGGGGAAATCTTTCAATGGGTACACAAGTTCTGGTGACACTGCTGACAACCAGGGATTCCACAGTTTAGAGGGATTTGCCCTCACTTCTTGTTGTGGATATAGGACAGGACGTAAAGGGAAATCTTTCCAATGGGACTGAGATGTCCAAAGAAAAATTGACAGCCCTTTACTTTATCCAAAATAATAAAAAAAAGTTTTTGCCTTTAGTTCTATTTCAAATGTAAATTATTTGAAGATGATATGTGGTCAGCTACGTACAGGGGCGGACTGACCATTCAAGCACTCGGGCACTGCCCGAGGGCCCGGAGTCAGTAGAGGACCCCATGAAATGCCCCTGTTACCTTTTTTATAGGCTTTTTTGAGTGTGGGCAAGTACACAGGGGCCCCATGATCCCTATTGCCCGGGGGCCCCATGAGTTGTCAGTCCGCCCCTGGCTACGTATGGCAACTCTAAGTAACATTTGTAATCCTGACAATCTTAACTGTTGAAGCTAGAAAACATATGATCTCCCTGTAATATCCATGTATACAGTATATTTTGACAAAAATATTTTTTTTCCAGGCATCTATAAATTATTGTCTTCCCAATAACAATGTATCTGCTCAAGCTGCTTTTGTCTCCAGAACAAAGAGAGAGGCTGTACAGTTAAACCCTCTTAAAGTACCTTCACCTTGTAAGTTCTCTTTATATAATGATTAATTGCATCAGCATTCCATTTAAACCTAGAGCAAAAGTTTAAAGAGAAAGATATTCATCACAACCCCACCCAACAATAATTCCTACAGCATTAGAAATGTTCATCCTACATATGACTGAAAACTCATGGCCACCGACCAGAAGATAGGTATATTTGTGTTGGTAAGTATGCAGTCTTTGCTTGGCCTTCTTCTGTTTGAGCATAATGCACTTTACATGAAACTCTTCATACCAACATATAAATTTGGATATAAAATTAAGTGTAGAGCAAGACAGTAGTTGGGGGGGAAGGGGAGGGCTTTCTGATATTTTAGCCCCAGCAAAAAGTGGGCTAGAAATCCTTTAGCCTTCCGGGAGGTTGGTTTCTAAACAGCAATTTGAAGTCTAATAGGTTTGCATCATACGTATCTATCTTGCGATATAATGAAAACTTAAAAAAAATGTGACAGGGGTTCATTCAAGACAGATTTTTGTTCTCAATTTCTGGGGCTGTCCTCTCAACAAAATTGTACAATAAACCAAAAAAAATATAAAGAAAGGGATTTTAGATGACTACCCCAGAAATGAATAGAATGAACAATTTTACATCCAGATATGAAAAATAATAGCAAAGCTTTATTACAAATAGTTTTTAAAAGACTCTTAAAATCATATCCTACAGGGACATTTCATAATGCAAAAGTCTTTAACCTTGGCGCGTTTTGCTTTTTATATTGTCCTGTTTGATCATGCAGGCACCTGTAGCTCAAGTACATACTTATGAAAGAGAATCCAGTGTTTTTACCCCACTGACAATGCAAAAATGCATGTTATGCACATTTTTCTGGTGCTCTGATAATAGGATTGCAAGGCCAAAATGCGTAACCCTTCCCCAAAGAAGTTCCTGTACGGCACTTCACTGCTAAAAACTTGTAACAATGCACAAATTAAACTACTCAAAATGGCCTAACATGAATGGGGCCTTAGATGGGCTTTAAGAAAGGACATGTGTGCACTCTTAGTTCAAGAAACCCATTACTAAACCTAAAACTCCCCCTTTTAGGTTAAACATAAGTAACTCTAAATCAATTCCATATACCATTACTAATATTAAATGTAATATATTTTCAGTGATCTATCTAAGGAGTTTTCATTTTAGTCTCCCTTAATAAAAAACCCTTCTTTTTTTTTTTTTTTTTTCTTTTATTTAGATATAATTGTTCTTAGGAACATCGTTATGTAATTATGCTGTCATAGTAACCAACCAATGTGTGGTACTGCCTGAGACAAATGATATTATTTCCAATCTCAGCAAACCTTGGAGAGGGATCCCTGCTGACCCCCGGGATCTCTTCCTAAAATAAAGACTTTTTTTAAATCAAACATGACAAAGAAAAGCATTTGTATGTTGCCTTAACTACCCCAAATGCATTTCCATCCTAACATTTTAAAATACAACACTAGAAAAACACATAATATATTTTATTATACATTTCTCTAAAATTACATTTTCAAGGTCATCTATAGTTTTAAAATGATTATTATGCTTTTCCTGCAATAATTAGTTTTTTAATATCAATTAAACTTTAAAAGGTGATTATTTTGGCGTGCGTAATACGAATTCTGCAGTTCCAAATTTTGCATGATCGATAATGCTTCCATTATACATACAGTATAAATTTGTCACAGATCCCACACATTTTAGCTTACTGTTCACAAATGTAAGAAACTAGTAAATGTGAAAGACAATCTAGCATTTTGAAAACTTTATTATTGCAACACACAGGCACTAGCATTTAAACTGCTAATTTTACTACAAACGTTGATGTTATGATTGCAAATCCTATGCAGCAAGTAGGCTAAGAATTGTAGCCCTCTTTTGTGGGGATTATGAGAAACGGCCCACCCCAAACAGGATAATGTACTAAACCTGTAGGTAAATAAGAAAACCAGAACCTTCGCTAAGTGGAGAGAGAGAGAGAGAGTAAGTGCCTCCACGGGGCCTCTGTGAGCGGAGGGGATTCCCTTCCAGGGAAATTAATCAGTAATCTAATCAAAGTACCTGTGAGCAGAGGAAACTACTGCCCAACAGGAGTCCTGTTGGAATTGTGCACAAATACGTGGGTATATATAGTTTTTAATAGAGATACCTCCAGATGAATGATTCAGCTAAGTCCAGCTAAAGGGGCCCTCTGAGAATGATCACAATGTGGTGTCTGTTGTTGGACCTGAAGACACAGTGGGGGAGATTTACTAAACCAGGTGCGCTCAGAATCTGGTGCAACTGTGCATGGTAGCCAATTAGCTTCTGCTTGTTCAATCAAAGTGTTACTAAACCCACAACAGTAAAATCAGTCTGTATATGCAGTATAAGCAGTAAAGCATGCTTGTTATAGTCACTGTGAAACCTAAAGGGTTAATTCTCTGCATTGCGTAAAAAGACTGTTTTATCCTGATTTCTCTGATCCTCTCCTTCTTTCAGTGTCTCCCTCTTATCTCCTGATAAGACATATCGTGTGGAGTCACTTTGCACATGCTCAGTTTGGTTTGTATTGCTGAGAGTGCATGTGTATTTGAAAGTGCATGTGATCAGCAAAGGGCCAATCAACACTGTCCAGACAGAGTTCAGAGATTCTGCATCCTCCTAGAGCAGAATGAAAACTTGTCCTACAAGCTTTAACATGTGCTTTGCTGGACAGTGATAGGGTGTGCTGTGCTGGGGGAGAGGTTTATGGGAAGGCTGGAGTAATATTTAAACTAGGATCGAGGGGGAAAGAAAAACACAAAAGGGCGCACTCTCCTCGTGCATTACCGTAGTTGCAAATGAATTTATTAAAAATGTGACAAATGGATACTCACAAAACGAATGTAAAAAACGAACATGAAGCCAAATGGGTCAATGTCACACAACTAGAGTCCTGTGATGATGGCGCCTGGTGGGAAAAGCTAATGTGTTTCAGGAGTTGAACTCCCTTTTTCAAAGCTAAGATGATAGAGAATGCCCATGCCAAATATATAGGGAGAATGACTGATTAAAATCATCACCACACCCCCTCAATGGTCCTAAATCTATTTGCTGCGTGTGTCACTTCCATGAATTAAATGAATGGAAATAAATGATGCTTGTACAAAGATGTGTGCAAACAATGAACTGCATGCCGCAAGCATAAATGATATGAAAGACTTACTGTATGTGGTATGATGTCCCTTGTGGGAAATTAAATTATAACGGGGTAGACAGATCAGACAGGGGTCAATACTTATTGGTGGGTGGAATAGGGAAAGATGGGGGGAAGGCTATGGCAGATGATAAGAAGGTTCCCATGTTACAAACAACCAGTGGAATTGGTACCATTTGTATGAAAATAAAAAATATGCAAAATACATGTGAACAATAGATTAAAGTGTTTGTTCACCAATGCCAGAAGTCTGCCAAGCAAAATAGGTGAGTTGGAAGCTTTTGGTGCATGAAGAGAACTATGATTTAATTGGTATTGCTGAATCTTGGCTTCATTCTTCACATGACTGGGCCATTAATATTCCTGGCTATGTTCTCTTTTGGAGAGACAGGGTAAATAGGAAAGGTGGTGGTGTCTGTCTCTATGTGAGAAGAATCTCAGAGCGAGTGTGAAAGAGGACCTAGTTGATGGAGAGTGTGATGAGGCTGAAGTATTATGGGTGGAACTGCACATGGGGGTGCGTACTACAAAGGTAATCATTGGAGTGTGTTATAGGCCTCCCAATATTAATGAGGAGGTGGAAACTGACTGGAGTAATGGTACTGCAGGAACAGTTAAAGGGCAAAATTTTTTAAAATTTTTAAACCTGCTATATGACAATTTTGTGGTACAGTTCATAGAGGCCCCAAGTAGGAATGATGCTCTGCTGGACCTGGTAATCTCAAACCATGCAGAACTTATTACGAATGTCCATATAAAAGAACATCTGAGTAGCAGTGACCATAACATGATTTAATTTATTGTTAGCTGTAAACAGCAAGTGCATACGGGAAAAATAAAACCGCTCAATTTTAAGAGAGCTAATTTTCCAAGGCTGAGAGCTGCTCTCCAAGACTTAGACTGGAAGGGAATATTGGCATCAATGAACACAACACAGAAATGGAAGTTCTTCAAAAAGACTGTATGTAAAATATATTCCCATGGGCAACAAGTTTAAAAGGATAAAAATCAAACCTATGTGGCTTACGGCCAAAGTTAAAAAAGCTATAGATAATAAGAAAAGAGCTTTTATTAAATATAAAAATGAAGGAACGCTATCATCGTTTACACATTACAAAGAGTATAACAGAATATGCTAAAAGGAAATAAAGGCTGCAAAAAATTGAAAACGAACGACAGATTGCAAAAGACAGCAGGACCAACCCCCAAAAATTCTTCAAATATATTAATAGTAAAAAGGTCCGGTCCAAGCATGTAGGCCCTTTACAAAATAATCTAGAGTGGGTGACTGGGGACAAAGAGAATGCAAATTTATTAAATACCTTCTTCAGCTCTGTGTATATAAAGAAGCATGGGGGAGCTCTTGTCCATAATGGGCATGGTATTGACACAGCTCCAGATGATCCACATTGGCTCACAACTGATATGGTCCAAAAATATTTAGACAGAATAAAGGTGACTAAAGCACCTGGACCAGATGGCATACACCCACGGGTCCTTAAAGAATTGAGCTCTGTCACTTTAAAGCCATTTTTAGGGACTCTTTAATGACTGACATAGTACCACTGGATTGGCGTAAGGCCAATGTGGTGCCTATATTTAAAAAGGGGTCAAAATCTTTACCAAGTAATTATAGATCTGTTAGTTTAACTTCTATAGTTGGGAATATACTGGAAAGTTTAATAAAAGACCACATAGAAGAGTTCTTCCTTGAAAAAAATATTTTAAGCAACAGACAGCATGGATTCATGAAAGACAGAAGTTGTCAAACAAATCTGATTTCTTTTTATTAGGAGGTGAGCAAAACCTTGGACAGAGG